AATTATATAAAAATCTAATAATAATATTATATAATTTAAAAAAAAAAATATATATATATATAAGAGCGATATATTAGAAAAAGTAAATATAATGTTAATGGTGGTACTTACTTTTGATGCGTGTCCCTCATCATTTGTAGGGCTACTGACCGCATTGTTGCTGTGTGCCTGATCCGTTTTTAATTCACGATGATTGCTGAATTGAACATAAACTGCTCTGCCCCTAAGTTGTGCTATGCACGAGGCATAATACGTAACCATTGTGGCAGCAGCATTCTCGTCGGTCATTTCGAGGAATGCCTGTAATCAAAAATAATGCAACACAACGATTCAATATTTAATTATTTATTTAAATACAATTTTTAAGAGAGATTAACACACATGTCAATTATTATTATTATATATTTATATATATTTTTCGTATAAGTATAAAATTTCTGTTAATGGAAGAAAAAAAACATTGTTCTAAGTCTCGAATCAAAAATTGTCCTCACAATTAAACCAAAAAAGTATGATCATATACTACCCCCCCACTCTCCTCTTTTTGTCAGAGATTGCATTGATCAATCACGTTTATGTTTAAAATGTTTTAACATGATACACGAGATTTGTATTAAATGCAAAATTTCATAAATATTCATATTATATTTTGTATGTTCTAATAAAATATGTTAATATGTTTAACGATGCACAGAGATTATTCTTTTAATTAATTTTCATTGAATTGTTGCAATTATTAAGTTGTTCAAGAAGCACTCCTATCACCAATGAATATAATCAACACATGTTAATTAATAATTTTAAGTTTTTGAAAAATCTTTTTCCCTATGAAAAAAGATTCAATAATAATCATCGAAATAATCTAAATCAATTAATTAATGCATTATCCATGCTACATTATTTTTTTAATCCGCATCTCAAAGAATTTGAAATTCTTATTCTGTAATAAATCAATTGATCGGTTATATCCTATATTAATATTTGTTAACAGTTAGACTGTCGAATAATAACTGACATAATAATAATTCACAATTCATGGAATAAATAAATCACAAGAGTGAAGAAGTCGTCGTTTATGATTTTTTAAAAACATAGGACACGAGAAAATAATAACAATATTTATTAACATAACAAAATAAATTTGTTATAGGATATAAACGGTATATAACTATATAAACTTCAGAGAAATATTTCAAAAATAAACACAACGAATTAGTTGACTTACACTCTTATTATACACCGTTATCATAATAAACTGTCCATATATATTTTATTATCTCATTATTATTATTATTATTATATACAAGTAATATACGTATAAATATATATATATGTATATATGTATGTAAAATAGTCCCAATGGGATATTCAGTTACCCTTAGAATCGAAAAAAAGCTTGCCAGTGTACTTTGTATCCAAAGAGAAAGAGGAGAAACAGTACAAGGAGAAAAGGTTGGGAAAAAGGGTGGGGATTTTAAGGGATGGTAGAAAGAGAAAGAGAGACAGAGAGAGAGAGAGATTGAAGGTCTGACCGACGTTAATGGATTTATACGTAACATGACGCTAATTTGGGCACGGCTTTTAGTCTAATTTACGTTCGCTTCGACTGAAAACATCGTAAATAAAACCATCGATGGAAAAATAACGAATGTGATTACACTCTGATTACTACTTCTCTCTATCTCTCTTTTTCTTTTATACTCTTCTTTTTAATTCTCGTTCTTTTTTCTTTTATCTTTTTTTTTGTTTTTCTTTTCTATTATTTACATATCGAATGATAAAATTTTTAAACGGAAATACGAGAAATATTAATTTAAACTCTCTCGAAAATACTCTCGTCGCGTTACTTTATTTTCCTTGGATATTTATTAATGTACTATATCGTCTATGTAAATGCACACGCGCGTGCGTGCGTGTAAATATTATATGCGTGTATGCATGCACGCGTGCGTGCGTAGGCGGGTGGTTTGTATTTCAGAGTAAAGCTAATAACACATTTTTAGTATTTTGTATTTCGATGTTTTACATTTTCACATATACGTTGTTTTATTATTATTATTATTATTATTATTATTATTATTATTATTATTATTATTACTATTTCGTATTTTTTTTAACTTTATCTTTCTTTCTCTATCTCTCTCTCTCTCTTTCTCTCCATTTGACTGCAATCGAACGGAAACAGAAACGACGAAGGTAACGTAAACTAGTGGGCGGATGGATGGAAGAGGAGGGTGAGGGGAGGGGAGGGGGTGGCAGGGCGTAGTTTAGGAAGGGACAAAACCGGAAGTCACTAAAACGTAACTCGAGTCACGTCTCGAAGCTTATCTATCCGTTTCGTTACAACCAAACCCCTCCCCCTTCCCCACCCCCTCAACCCCTATCCGAGACACGAACGTTAAATTTTTGCTTCTGAAAAGAGAGAGAGAGAGAGAGAAAGAAAGAGAATAGGATAGGCTGTTGGTGATCGTAGTTTCAACGATGGTTGGTTGTTTCTACGCTCGTTTCGAGCAACGATAACGAGCAGACTTTCCTGCTACTCTATTGCTGTTGTTCCCTTTTCAGTTTACCCAATGCTCTTTTCTAATACACCTTAATCCTCTCTCACCACTGTTTTCTCTCTTTCTGTCCTTTTTTTTTTTTTTATAGATTTCGATCGTTTCTCTAAGGACTCTTGAGAAAAACACTTTCCGTTCTGCCTTTTAAACTCTGAACGAAATTTCATTCTTCGATATCTTTTATATATATATATATA